GGTTTACATTCAGCACACAAATTTTGTTGGGAAAAATGAAACATAGACACCCTAAAACTAAACTCAAGGGCAATTTTGTGAGTACCGTTAAGAGACACAAAAACGCCCTTTAAATTTTTATTTTCAATATATTTGTAAGACTTTACAATGGAAAATGATTTCAACTGATTGTTTTCATATAAAATGTCTACCGAAAAAAAAAGAAAGTGAGCTATTAAGTATTTTCCAGGCACATACTTCAAATCGATTCCACAATCAAGTAAATATGTTACATTCAGTTGTTATAAAAATGCTGTTAATATGAAAATTATATTTTACTTTGCATCATAGCCTTTCTAAAACATCTCAAAATTGGCTTATGTCACTTTTAAGTATCTTCTAGTGTTGTTTTTTTATTTATTTATTTTTATCTTTTTTATCAGTATCTTCTAATGTTTCCAAACAATGCTCTGTGGGGTGGGAGCTCAGCTACAGACTTAGCTCCAGGGAGAAGCTCGGTACAATAGGAGGTGTTTTGTACCAGCAAGCACTTAAGCAGCTCCACACAGGAGATTCAAGTATTTCTCAAACATGAATGAATGAGTCAAAGCAACACTCTGGGTATGTTTTTGATGAGGGAATGACATTGTAACATGATATAAAGCTCCAAAAATCAATTTTGCATAACACCCCCACCCCACCCCCTTCAGTGGCTTAAAGTGCAATACTGTTGTCGGCCCCTTGATGCTGGTTCCAGAAAATCCAGGTATTTTCTTTGCCTGCTTGATGGTAATGGGATGGTGCATATCTTCAGTGTTTTTTAAACAAAATGTGGGATACACCCAGACAAGTTAGAATTACACAGAGGCATACAAACACCCACATGTAGGCCAGCTTAGAGCTGACTATGAGTCTAATGCAGTGGCGGAGCCAGACATTTTTCTCAGGGGTGGCCAGACTGGGACCACTACTCACACAGGGGTGGTCAGGAAAATGACATCCTTTTTTACATCATTTTTAAATTGAAAGTTTCTGCAGGTATTTGTGTTTTGGTGATTTCTTTATGTCCTTATACAGGCAGTGATTACCTTATAAACATGGGTGTCAGAACCATTTTCAAAGTCAGGGGGACTGAGTGTAGTGGGTCTGGGGGTCCTCCCCCAGAAAAGTTTGAACAAAATAGATGCAATTTCCTGCATTCTGGTGTGTTTTACCAAGTTTTTAAACATACTCTAACCTACATAACTTAACACTTGATTTAATAATTATTTCAGAGACAACGTCTTCATTAAACTAGTTCCATCATCCCGTTTTATGGCTGAGATAAGGTTAATTAATGTGACACAATTTATCATATCCAATGACTTTATGGGTGCTTTTTACCTTTTATATTGTTTATTGATTTATTTTAATTGTATCACATTTCATTGTGCTAAATAATGATGACCCTCAGCTGCATGTTTTAAACTACTATTAATAATTTTACCCAATGAACAGGTGCAATATTGATAACAATTAACAGTGAATTTAGAGGGGTGTTTCACTTTTTTTGATTTAGTGATAGGCCTACTCATAACCAAAAGGGACAAAACATCATGCAGCCTTCATAACATAAAATGAAAAAAAAATGTCACCGTAAGTCCAAAAGTTGACACCATAAGTCAGATTACATAGGCACATGTTCTGTATATAAAGAAAAACATCACTTCCTTGTCATTATGCTTCTTCAGTGATAGAGCTCGGTGATGTTTCAGACTGTTAAACACTGCCACCAACTGTTCAGGAGGACTATTATGGTGCGTTCACACCGAACGCGATTTCAGCGTCAGGAGCAGCAGGTTTACATACAAAGTCTATGGTGGACACGCTTCAAGCAACGTCAAGAAGTGCTGCGGCGCCTCAAGCGCGATTAGAGCAGCGCGATTTGAACGATTTGAACGATCTGAGCGTTCGACGCGCTGAGGCGCAAATCGTTGAAGTTAGAAAATCTGAAYTTTTGCAGCTCRACGCGCCGCRTCAACCAATCAGAGAGACTCCACTGCGTGATGTAGCGACATATTTCCCGACGGGACAGTTTACTGAATGATGTCCACTAACCTGAAACAGATGGAGAGGAGCTCTTTAGCTGAAATCGAGTGCCTGCAGTCGGTGTCCTGACAGGAGATATCTGCACCAATGTGTGGCAGCGACTCATCAGACTGGAAAAATAGTCCTGAAAGCGAGCTGTGAGCCTCTACTCTGAATTATCTGGTGAATTAATTATGAATTAATTATCTGATGAATGTGACATGCTCTTGCTCTCTGTAAATAAAGCAAAGCCACTTCCTCGTCTGACATTAAACAGAGCCCGACAGAGGAGGGAGGGGCGGGGAGGCTGTTGCCGTGCAGCGCTTCAAGAGCTGACCTGTGTCTGACCTCAAAGTGCACAAGCGACCAACTTCAGCGTTGGCTGCGATTTTGAAGCTGAAATCGCGTTCGGTGTGAACACAGCACTACACCTCTAAATGTTGTTTCACTAAGGAGTGTGTACAGCAGGGTGGCCAAAGATTTGCCTGTGGTGGCCATGACCACCCCTGGCCACCCCCTGGCTCTACCCCTAGTCTAGTGTGATTGTTTTTGGATCATGAAAGAGAACAGAAGTACTTGGCATAAAAAACTCAACCATACACAAGAAGAACATAGAAGCTTCACCCACAAAGAGCCCATCTAGGAGCTGAACCTCAGACCTTCTTGCTGCAAAGCAGCTGCACTAACCAACTGCTCCACTGTGCAGCCATGACTCCACAATATCTCTTACTGCAAGTGTAAACAACCTCTGTATGGTGGTGGTCACCAGTACTTATTTAAACACAATGAAATACATTAGATCTTTCAATGTAAAGTGCTGATTTAACTCTAAAACCCCAATACTACTTTTATTACAGACAGTCATGATTTTTTTTATTTTAAATTATAAGATATTTAACTGATTTCCTCATTGTCTAGTTTCAAACAATAAAGGTCTACGCTATCATAAATCTTTACTTATGTAGTAGTTATTGTTACCATTTAGCCTTACTTTGTCAAAATAAAAGTAATTTTGTAATACCTGAAAGAGATTGTAGCAGCAGTCAAACCAGCCCCTGGTTATTTATAATAGTCCTTTTTCAACCTCTGTGAAATTTATTTGCTTTATTAAAGCACACACTGGTGCACCTCATAACTTGAAAGTCCAGCCTTTTGGAAAGATGTCAGTGTCAACTCCTAAAATACAATTGTTCACTCTGATTTTGTGTTTTACCCATAGCTTTAAATGACACAATATTTGGGCCTTTTCATATACTTTATGGCAAAGTTTGTTTCGTCAATTTGTACCTAATCTATTATTCTTATAGATGAGCAATCATGTCATTTATTAATCAATACATGGAGAGCTACAACTGTGATTTCAATCAAACCAACATAATCTTCGTTCTTATTACTGGAATTGTCACATGGCTTATGTCATGCAACATAAAATTTCATACTTGTTTGTTTGTTTGTTTGTTTGTTTGTTTGTTTGTTTGTTTGTTTGTTTGTTTGTTTGTTTGTTTGTTTGTTTGTTTGTTTGTTTGTTTGTACCACTAGAATGTTTGTGTTCAGATAAATGCAGCATGTCAAAGCCAAGACGATTAAGCTCTTAAACAAGGAGAAGCTGAAGCCCAGCAGGGAGGAAGTGGGGTGAGCAACTTGTAGCCAAAACTGACTCACATTTTTGAGTCATTTTTTAACAGTTACCAATATCCTCTTTAAAACCTTGTAAGTTTTCACCTAATATTGCCTAATGTTGATACTATATTCAATACATTTTTTATTTACTATGTTGCTGATTTTCCCTGGCTAAATCTGTCTTTCCATAAAATCTTAGAGAGAACTTGTTTTCCCAGGCATTTCAATAAAACCATTATTACATTTAAACATAAATGTAGACTTGGATGTACTATTATTATTATTTGCATTCTTTTGCATACTTTTCAGCAAGAAGTGAACACAGGAGCTTGTGCACTTACTACAAATCCCAAATGTAACTTTTGGTAATGGTTATTAAGTTGACTGTTGTATATTGTATATAACTGATCTGGTCTCATATGATACCTCTGAAATGATGAGGAACATAATAATAATAATAATAGTAATAGTAATAATAATAATACAATATGCATAAATAGTATAAATAAACAAAATGTCAATGCCTCAAATAAATCTGGAGTCATTTGCTAGCTACTGACATTGATGTTAGCACTGTGTGGTTTTCACAGTTTTTGCTCAGATCCTTTAATAAAAAAACAGGATGGGAACAGCCTGCTCACTAAATTGAAAACTTCAGAGCTGTTTGCACAAACCAGTGCTTGACAGCACATTGACAAGCATTTGAATGTATTTGTCACTTGTCACAAATACACAAAGTGAACCTAACTTTTTAGGTGTTTTTAGGATGTATTTATATTTGTATTGCATTACATTTTCAGTTTGAACAGGTGCATAAATAAGGTGAATAAAGTGTATAATGAAGGCATATCATGCAGCCTTCACAGAGAAAGTTTTCCTTTACATAATTTATAGACAAGCAGCAGATGCAGCAGAAGTGGAATGCAGCCCTCATTGTTAAAATTGTGCTAGTCCTATAATTGAAATCTTTTTAATAGGCTGATGTGAATGAACAAATTATGTAACCATATGCCCACAACTACACTTTGTTCTGCAGAATTTGTGTGCTAAAAATATTAAGTCAAACATACTTTTTGTGTTATTTATCAAGAAAACTGGTTTGTGACTCTATAAAGGTGGGGCCATGGCTGCAGATTTGAGCTCAGGTTGTGACAGGAAGGGCATCTGAAGTAAAACGATTACTACAACTTTCATGAACGGTCGCTTGCTGTAGCAACCCCAGCAGAAACAAGTATCCAAAAAAAAAAAAAAAGAAATAACTCTATAGGCACAGAAAACTGGTTTGCAATTCTGGTTGA